ATCCACTGACTGCTGCTTTCTACTCTGTTGTGTAGCTGCAGGTTTTTAGATGTTGTCAAACTCTGTAGTGTCAAAAACACAGAGCAAGCCAAATAAGAAAAGATATGCAAACTTATTTACATCTGTCCTGGGTGGATTCTGGAGCCTAACCTTTTTCAGCATGGCTGCTTTCACAGCAGGGTCATTCAGATCCACAGAGAAGTCCTCCAGCTTTATCCTCAGCTTTACTGCCTGCCTCTTGTGTTGTGACTGTTTTGTGTGGAATTGGATTCGCCTGCCCCTCTGCCCGTTTGCCTGTCTGCTCCCCTAGCCACTCACCAGCCCTGTCTGCCCACCTGCTTTCCTGCCCAGCTTCACATTCCTCGGCTCAGTCTGCGACCTGCCTAGCCTCTGTTTTTGTGAATAAATTCCTGAAACCTGCCTGTGGCGTCCAGTCAGCTTCTGGGTCCTTGATCTGAACAAGGTGACACACTGAACTTCAAAGTAATCATTATCAGAGAAAATGCTTTGCTGGGTACTTACCATTATTACAGATGAATGGAAACCCCACCAAACAATAATTATTGTACCATGTGTAATTATCCCCCCTCAACATAGTAATTGCACCCATAGCGAAAACTGGCTGTCCGACTGCCCAGCTCCTAAGTCCAGCTCCTGTCCCTGTGTAGCTGTCTGACCACCTCCAGTTGATTTTAGTCTACAGGCCAATCCAAACCTCAGAGCTGCGACCAAACGATAAAACTGTTGATAATTTGGTTCACTTCTAGTAGGTCTGAGCTTCAGCCCAGTTCATAGGCTCAGTAACATAGTGGTACTGATGGAGGAGGCGTGCAGTTAGAAAATTCTACAGCTTCCAGAGACAGGGTCCCCATTACCCTCGATACGGAAATCTTTTAATACAAGTAGAAAAAGAAATTAAGAAAATAATACTTCATATGTTGATGAGTTAGTTCAATTCAAATTTAGGTTAAAGGACTTAATTAATCCATTGGGAACTTCACTTGAGAAGAGCTTCAGTGCGTGTACCTTTCATGTTTGCAGAAACACAGCACTACACAATATACCAAACACATCACATACTAATTCAATTCAATTCAATTTTTATTTATATAGCGCCAAATCACAACAACAGTTATCTCACAGCGCTTTTCATAAAAGAGCAGGTCTAGACCGTACTCTGTGATGTTATTTACAGAAGCCCAACAGTTCCCACCAAGAGCAAGCACTAGGCGACAGAGGCAAGGAAAAACTTCCTTTTAAGAGGCAGAAACCTCGAGCAGAACCATGGCTCAGGGTGGGCGGCCATCTGCCTCGACTGGTTGGGGTGTGTGTGTGTGTGTGTGTGAGTGAGTGAGTGAGTGAGTGAGTGAGTGAGTGAGTGAGTGAGAGATGTAAGGAGAGAGAGAGATGTAAGGAGAGAGAGAGGGGAGGGAGGCAGCCTACACAATATACACACAGAGGTACAGACAGTGAAGGTGATGTTGCTATAGACTAAATGAAAAATGGTACAGATATTTATAATAGTGTTAATGGTAACCATCGTAATGTTAATGATTATAATAACAATAATAACAATAAGACTAGCAACAATAGTCGTTGCAGTGGAGGGTGTCGAGCAGGAACACAGGGGCAGCAGGTGACCCGCAGCCACAGCTCCAGACTCCACAGCTCCAGAGCCAGAAAACCTGCAGGAAGTGATAGGAGAGAGGAGAGAGACGAGAAAGCACAAGACTACCAGAAAGGGGAGAAGTTGTGTTAGTAACATGCAATAATGGGATAAGGTTGCATACAGAGGGAGAGAAAGTAGAGGAGAGAGGAGCTCAGTGCATCATGGGAAATCCCCCGGCAGTCTAGGCCTATAGCAGCATAACTAAGGGATGGTTCAGGACGACCTGAGCCAGCCCTAACTATAAGCTTTATCAAAGAGGAAACTCTTAAGCCTACTCTTAAATGTGGAGATGGTGTCTGCCTCCTGAACCCAAACTGGAACCTGGTTCCACAGGAGAGGAGCTTGATAGCTGAACGCTCTGGCTCCTAGTCTACTTTTGGAGACTCTAGGAACCACAAGTAACCCTGCATTCTGGGAGTGCAGTGCTCTGGTGGGGTAGTAAGGTACTATGAGCTCTTTAAGATAAGATGGTGCCTGACCATTAAGAGCTTTGTAGGTAAGAAGAATGATTTTAAATTCTATTCTGGATTTTACTGGAAGCCAATGCAAAGAAGCTAAGACAGGAGAAATGTGATCTCTTTTCCTGGTTCCTGTCAGAACACATGCTGCAGCATTCTGGATCAGCTGAAGAGTCTTAATGGACTTTTTCGAGCAGCCTGATAATAAGGAATTGCAGTAATCCAGCCTAGAAGTAACAAATGCATGGACTAGTTTTTCTGCATCATTTTTAGACAGGATGTTCCTGATTTTCGCAATATTACGTAGGTGAAAAAAGGCGGTCCTTGAAATTTGCTTAATGTGAGACTTAAACGACATGTCCAAAGATAACTCCAAGATTCCTCACAGTGGTGCTGGAGGCCAAGGCGATGCCATCCAGGGAAACTATATCTTTAGATAATGCGTCACGGAGGTGCTTAGGCCCCAGAGCAATAACTTCAGTTTTATCTGAGTTTAACATGAGAAAATTACAGCTCATCCAGGTTTTAACATCCTGAAGGCACATTTGAAGTTTAGCTAACTGATGAGTTTCATCTGGCTTGATCGATAGATATAACTGAGTATCATCTGCATAACATTGAAAGCTTATGGAATGTTTCCTGATAATATTGCCTAAAGGAAGCATATATAAAGTGTTTCTGTCCAAGGACAGATCCTTGAGGAACTCCATGAGTAACTTTGGCGTGCATGGAGGACTCATCGTTAACATGTACAAACTGAAATCGATCTGATAAATAGGACTTAAACCAGCTTAGAGCGGTTCCTTTAATGCCAATGAAATATTCCAGTCTCTGCAATAGGATCTGATGGTCAATGGTATCAAATGCAGCACTAAGATCTAATAAAACCAGTACAGAGACAAGTCCTTTGTCTGATGCAATAAGGAGGTCATTAGTAATTTTCACCAGTGCTGTCTCTGTGCTATGATGAGCTCTAAATCCTGACTGAAAATCCTCAAATAAACTATTGCTCTGTAGAAAGTCACACAGCTGTTTAGCAACTGCTTTCTCCAGAACCTTAGAGAGAAATGGAAGGTTAGATATAGGTCTATAGTTGGCTAAAACATCCGGATCAAGTTTGGGCTTTTTCAGAAGAGGTTTAATTACAGCTACTTTAAAGTACTGTGGTACATAGCCTGTTGATAAAGATAGATTGATCATATCTAGTATAGAGGTGCTGACTAAGGGTAAAACATCTTTAAGCAGCCTAGTCGGGATGGGGTCTAAGAGGCAGGTTTAGATGAAGAAATTATTGAAGTTAGTAGAAATTATTGAAGTACCAGCAATCAGCGGTGGTAAATAAAGCTTGCAAATCACCATAAATACATGATAAATATTTGATAAACATTAAAAAGGATTGTGTTAAAAATAAATAGATTAATAAATAGAATAAATCAATCCATCTTTGATTCTGATTGACATGGGCACAAAGCCAGTTCATCATTAAGCATAGGGTCGGAATACATCCAGCATGCAACCATGCAAATATATTATATTTGTTATGCAAAGTCAGAGTGCAGAAAAGGTGATTTCCATCTCTGTTTGACAAACAAAAGCAAGTGCACCCTGAGGTTCCACCAGGGTGAGAAACCAGAAATGAAGACAGAGGTTCATGAAATGTGAAAATAATAATTTATTTGTTACTAATGCTGAATGAAAACAACTTCCATTCAGGTGCCAGAGGATTTAACATAAACTGCAATACAGCAAAAGAACAGTCTTAGATTAATACAGGCTTTGTTGCTGTTGTTACTTTTGTATGTTTAAATATTCTCTGCCTCAATTGACACAAAGCATGTTAAACGATGACAATCAAAAACATAGCAGGCTATTATAGTGGGCTGACCAAGATAACCATACAAACTAACAAAAAAATACTTCTCAGCATAAATACTAAGCACTTGAATGTCCAGGGTGCCTCAAATGATTACAAAAATATGAAAGGACCATATCTGGCCCTGTGGATTACCTGTGATTCTGTTCAGTCTCTGTGGGAGCATTGTCTTGTATGTGCCGCGTGTCGTCAGTGTCCTGTATGTCTGATTGCCTGTTCGGTTCTTTCTGTTATGTTTTGTATTTATAAGTTGGGTTTTGTATACCCTGCTTTGTAGAATTACCCTGTTGGTTCACCTTATGTTTTGGCACTTTGTAACTGTAAGTTATACACTTAGTGTTTGTCTGACGAACTGATCCTGTCCTGCATCTGTGTCCTGCGTTTGGGTCCCAATATCCAGTATTCCAGAGTTTGGAGACCAGAAAAGTTGGCTAACTCGATGTTGCTAACAACAACAATGGTCATTGTTGCTACAATATGTCCATGTTGTTGTCCAACTTGTTGTGTCGTGTGGCAACTGAAACGTATCCAACTCAGGTTTCCTTGCTTTTTCAATGGATATGACGTCGATACGAGACCTGAGGTCCAACTTCTGAGGTGAATGGAACGCAGCCTTACTCTCCATTCTTCAGCACCTACACTGTAAAAATGAAAACCTATAATTGCTGATCTTAATTAGATTTTTGATTAAACTGAACAAAAAATACGTAATGGCATTGTAAACTTTGTTAAAATAGTTTCTTCAACTAACTTTATTACATTTCTTGTATAAAGTTGGTCTCAGTGCAAAATTTATGGTGGCACAAGTTGGAGCTCAGACAACTCAAGTGATGGGGTTTCCTAAACAGTCCTGCAGGGGTTTTCATCCACATGTCAGTGTTGGACGTACCAGGACAGCTTCCCTGTTTTCTTCAAGAGAATCTGAAGTCAAAAAGGTGAGTTTTGTTTGAATATGAATATAGTTTTGAAAGTCTTGCTTTGCAGTAGTGAATTCTTTTGTTTAATCATGTGCTTGATGCTACACTGTAGCTTGCTTGCTAACTAAGTTGTCAGCTAATGTTAGCATGGTAAACAATGGTTTGATAAATTCCATGTCTATATGGAGCGCAGAGTCGCTATGCACGGTTCAGAAGTGCATTGGGAGCATCAACAACAAAACAGCTGATTGTCAGAGAACTTTGAACCACTATTCATTTATGCATTACATCAAAAATAAATACTGCTAACTACCGTAATTTATTTTTTATGGCCATATAACGTTACCCTTCAGGGTTTCCCATAAATGTATTTAAGTGTGCCCCACCCACCATGTCATTTTGTCAAGGCATTTGCTAGTTATGTTAGGTACACATAGACAAAACTAATGCAATGAAATACAATGGCTCTGCATTAAAACCTTTCTTTGATAGGTATTGTGGTGGTAAGTTTATTGAATTTGTTTGACAGAGGTATTTAATTTAATGGTCAATTTGAAGGCTGCTTATGGTGCTAGTTAACCATGGGGTTATACTGAGAGATCTTCTTAACATTTTGTCAACTGTACTTTTTTTTATACATGTATAGGATGGACTAAATATTTTGAACACTTCTCAGTGTAAATTATACCATGACTCAAAAAGACGTTAAAAACTCATTATAATACTCATGAAGGAAGGATTTATTTCAGAGCTACACTGAATTAGTTCTTGGTGAACCTTATAAACTGACAACTGTGTAAGTGTATACCTTTTTTTACACAGTCTATGGTGTATATACCTGCACATGCCCCCACACAGTGTTCAGTACATTTTGTGCATTTTTTACATTCACAACGTTGACCCTGCATATTCCTCACAAAATGTATAACAACTAATTTGTTTATCTCCAAATGCTAAATTCTTACAGCTGTTGTCCTGTGAAGCTGGTGCTGAGGTACTGAGGTTCCACCAACCACAACGTATGTTCATATGTAGAGTCACTATATTTATTTCCAATTTCAGAGGCAAGGCTGTGAATTTTCTTCCAGGAAAAACACTGAACAGACAGCTAGCAGATCAAATCACAATTTAAGGAAATACAGTATATACACAGCCTAAATAGAAGGCAGTGTGGTCGTGCACAGGACACTGTTAAAGTGTGTGAGAATATTTTGTTGTATAGATCCATTAAAAGTAAATTAACTAACTTGCCTTTTGTGTCAACAAGATCTATTGAGCCGTAGACTACGACACAGAAGAGGAGCTCACTGGCCCTGTGTTGCATTTAAATCACGCCTTACATTGCCGGACTGTAAGAAGACATCAACCTTTTTCTGTGAGTTACGCGAATTTGGAGAAACTTGGACTGAGCACAGATTCCATCTTGAATGATACAGTCATGTGTTTCTTTAATGTTTGTTAAAAATAAACATGGAAATTTGCTTTGTTTGTGGAAATTGGTGTTTTTTTCAAAACTTAGGAATTTGAGTTAGCCTCAAAACTCAAAAATCGAGTGCAGTAAGTTGCCTTGAAATTTTGAGTTTTCATAAGGCGTGATGTAGATGAGAACTTGTGGCCAACTGCAGAAAGCATGGCTGTATTTTTATGCAACCCTAATGAAGAGTTATACTACTGTATGAGGTTTTGTTGTCTAGACAACAACAGTTGTTTTAAAATGAATGGGAGAACATGTTTAAAATGAAAATGTCTGTTGCATACTTTTGCATGAAGTGTGTAACAGACCTGTGACCTTGTCAGTGACAGAGAAGAGGAGCTGGCAGTGTTGAGCAGTAGCGTCACTAAAAGTAATGCTGTTACTAGTTTAACTACATTTTCAGTAGCGTGGTGGTAGCGCCACTGTTTTTTTGATTTGAATCAAATAGCTTTTCGGTAGAGAAACTCTTTTATTGATCAAATAGCACGCGCTACGACAGAAGCACTTCCGTGTGACGGTGACATCCCATTCTGATCCTTGGGTAAAAACAATAAAAACAAAATATATCTAACATTGAAAATATGTCTTGCTTTTTGACAAGCAGTTGCATTTTTCCAAGAAACGATGTTAATAGTCATAATAATAATAATGGTAATGTGATAATATTACAGTAAGTTTATACAAACAATAACAAACAACAACAATTATTTATTTTCTAAATGATGAGTGGTTGACTGGTTGATCCCAGTTTGTGGCAGGAGGAAATACATTTTGCTGCAATGATTTTGAATTTGAGCATTTCTCCCAGTAAGTAGGGGAGTTTCTATATGTCTTATTTAGATATCTCTCTTTCAGTTCAATTCAAATTAGCTTTATTGGCATGAATGTGTAACAACAATATTGCCAAAACATCATACAAACTACAAAAGAACAATCAACCCCATACATTTCATTAAACAAGTAATTAAATCATATGTGTGTTTGTGTTAAAAAAAAGAATATATTAAAGTTAAAATAAAATAAATAAATAAAACAGTAAGTGTGTGTGTGTTAAAAAGAAATATATTAAAAATTTAAATAAATAAATAAAATAGTAAGCATGTGTGTGTGTTAAAAAAAGAATATATTAAAAAGTTAAAATAAAATAAATAAATAATACAGTAAGCGTGTGTGTGTATGTGTGTAAAAAAAAAATGATATTAAAAATTTTAATAAAATAAATAAATGAAACAGTAACGTGTTTCTGTTATTATAATATATTAAAAATTAAAATAAAATGAATAAATAAAACAGTAATGTGTGTGCAATATTATAATAATATATTAAAAATTTTAATAAAATAAATAGATAAACGTGTGTGTGTGCGTATTAATAGACACATTTTATTCAAAATAATTAATGTTGTCCTCACTTCATGGCATGAGGAGACATATTTTGCAGCAATTATTTGACATTTGGGCATTTGTCCCAGTAAATAGGGGAGTTTCTGTGTTTGATATGAATTCGAATTCAGGGTATATTTGGGAAATGTTTGCAAAGTGTTTTTGTCTTAGTGTTTTATATTTAGGGCATGAGGTTAGAAAGTGCAGCTCTGTCTCTACCTGTCCTGTGCCACACTGGGAGCAGAGTCTCTCCTCTTGTGGTAGCCAGCTCTGTCTGTGGCGACCCTTTTCTATGGCCAGGCTATTGATAATTTGGTTTGGTCTGCTTGAGTTGGTGTTGCTGTTCTGAGGCTGTTGGGGACTTGTTACTGCAGAGAGCCTCAGGACCAGATGGCTGAGGGGACCCTAAAATGGTTTGAGCTCCTGGTATGTTGGGGCTTTGTGATGATATGTCTGGGGGTTAAGTCTTTCTCTCACTCAATCACTCACACAAACACACACACCACACACACCACCACACACACACACACACACACACACACACACACACACACACACACGCTGTTACTGTTTGGAGCAGGTCTTTATGCTTTTGCTACTTTGGAATGAAGTTGGTTCAATATAAACAGAAGTAGCATAGATGTAGTGAACTACTGCCATGTTACTATAGCTTAGCTTGCTACATTTTTGCTTCAGTGTAGTGAAGCTTCATTTAATGCAGAGTAAGTAGTAGCTTAGCTCACTACATTTTCCAAGTAGCTTGCCCAACACTGGAAGCTGGTGCTGACTTATGCTTATTATTTTGTCGGTTTGTGTTGTTGTCTTGGTCAGCCCGTCTTAATAGCCTACAATAGTTTTGATTATCATATTTAATATGTTTTGTGTACACAAAGGGAGTGAAAAACTCAGCCTAAAGTAGCTGTAGATGTCTGTGACTGTCACTGTAATGGGTACAAGTTACATTTATGAAGTGCAAGCATAACTGCACATGGTTATTTAGTGTTTATGTATAGGATGCAGGTTATCTCAGTTTGATCATGCAAGTCATGACTGTGGACAGCAACAAAACCTGTATTAATCTAAGACTCTTCTCTTGCTGTATCACAGTTTGTTAAAATCATTTGGCACGTGAATGAAAGTGGTCTTCATTCAGCATGAGTAACAAATAACAATTGTTTTCAAATGTCATCAACCTCAGTCTTTATTTCCTAGTTTCTCGCCCTGTATGGAACCTGAGGAGGCACTTGCTTTGTTTCTCGGCCTTTGCATAACAAATAAAATATATTTCCATGGCTGCATGTTCCTTACTACCAAAGTAAATGTAACAATGAAGTATATTAGCTCATCATTACATATTAAGTATGTTTTCTACTTTCATTAAGGAATTAATATTTCAAACATCCATCTTCTCTGTAAACAGGTTTCATTGGAACTACTTTCTGCTGAAGACATAATGTAGTCACAATGAACACTGTTATAAAATTTTGATGCACTAAAAATAAATTATTGTCACCAACAATATATTGGGCATAGAGGCAGAAACCTCTTTCTATCCTGGTCAAACTAAAGCAAAACGTTACAAAGCAGTCATAATCTCAGGTCACAAAATTGGCTACAGTTCAAAGTGCCTCCTATCAGAACAGAGTCTAGAAAGTTAAACCTGCTCTGTTATGGCCTTGGTCTTGGAATGATGTGCAGACCAAGCTCAAACTTAAATCCCCCATCTCTCTAAATGATTTTAAACATAGATTAAAGGAGGAGGTGTTCACTGCTAACTGCAGCTGCTTTGTCAATTATATTACCACTTAATTCCTTAATAAATCTATGACCTGATACTGTTGTTTTTTGTGTACAGTACAATGTAGGATATTATTTTATATCTAATGTTGTGTTGTTGCGCTGTGTCTTGGTGTTGTTCAACATGTTGCTGTTGAGATTGGTTCTTATTGTTGCCTGGTTGTCTATTAGATCCTGCCTTTTGACCATGTCTTGACTAGGTCTGACTTGTAAAACAGGTTTTAACCTTCATGTGACTTCCTAGTTAAATACAGGTAAAAAAAAAACATCTGTGTTTCAATTGCGCAGCAGATGATACACATGTTTTGGTGTCAGAGATCTGGATTCAATTTCCCTGTGACATTCATCATGTGTCTCTGAGCAAGACACTTAACCCCTAGTTGCTCCAGAGGCATGCGACCTCTGACATATATAGCAATTGTTAGTCACAGAGAAAAGCGTCCGCTAAATGAAAAATTTATTATTCATTTAATTATTAAGACGCCGCCATAAATAAGAGAGAACATATGTGTTTTGTAATTGAGGTGAACTGAACACATCAAATAAACATGCCCATGACAGACACAAGGTTGACTGAAATAAAATCCACTATGGAGACAAACATTTTCCTAAGTCTGCCATCACAATGCTTTTTGCATAAAAAATGCAAAAATCTTCCTAGTGGTTTAAAACGACACATGCACAGTCCACAGAGCAGCACAATAATGGAGAGGATCTTACTGGGTGTCTTGTGTCTCTCAGGTCAGTGAATTATTTGATTTTTTGTCTGACTTCTTATTATTGTATAACTTACTGATCACAAATAATAAATAAGTCACAAGTGTTGTCCTCACAAATTCCATGATTAAATGAAAAAACAATATTAAAATATATTATTTTATTCACTGGGACCATTGGTGAAGGATGAGTTCAGATCCTTTACTTCAGTAAAAGCAATGCAAAGTAAAGACTTTCATTCAAAACAATACTGAAGTAAAAGTAAAACAGTATCATGAGCAAAATGTACTTGTGTACAGTGACTGATGTTTTTTATTATTTATGACATTAATAGTTGTTATGACTAAAGCATAAATGTGTAAGCACACATTTACCTTTCTGAACAAGTTTCAAGTCTTTTCACTTCTCAGTCCCGTTGACTTTTAATAAAAGGGCAGAAATTCATCCAGATTGCAAAATGAGTCAGGATGATTTAAGGATAAAATTGTGCTTAATCCAAAGTGACCTGCTCACAATCAGTCAGCTGCTATAGGTGATGAACATCATTTCATTGTTGATTTGTAAAATTACAAAGGTGGTAAACTTTTAAAAGCAGTTTTAGATGATATTAATGTTAATAAAGATTCAGTAAGCACATCAACAAATTAAAACCTTCAGTTATGTTAACAGACAAACTCAGACTAAGGATTCAACCTTTAACAAATCAAACACTTCTCCATCATCACTTCTCCAGACATCTTCTCCTCATGCCTCCTCCATCAGTACCACTATGTTGCTGATCCTATGAACTGGACTGAAGCTCAGACCTACTGCAGAAAGACATACACAGACCTGGCCACCATTGAAAACACTGAAGAAGTGAACCAACTTCTCAACACAGTTTCATCTTCTGGTCTCAGCTCTGATGTCTGGATTGGCCTGTACACTAAAATCAACTGGAGGTGGTCAGACGGCTACACAGGACAGGAGCTGAATATAGGAACTGGGATTTCAATCGTCCGTGGTTTTATAATGAGTTTAATTACTTCTGTGTATTGAGGGGGCACAGTTACCTCTGGTATGATTTTGATTGCACAGCAGCATATCCACTCATCTGTAATAATGGTAAGTAC